CAGTTTATAAGGTCTTGTGTCTTGCTTTTTATTCTTTTTTTTTTTTAAGGACAATAAAAGTAAACATTACCTTTTAAATGAGTTTAATGAAATAACTAAAATGATGGGTTGATCCAGCAAGAATTTAGCTTTATACTTTTACTGAGAAATATACACACACAATAACATGAAGATTACATGACCATGCTAGGATACGTTTTAAAGAATTCTTAGGATAGAATGAATAAACAAATCTTAAGAAATTATATCATTATTGCTTTTCTGCTGCAGGATATGTCTTATGGTCCATGAACGTCTCTTATGAACCAGTAATATTCTGATAATTCCAGTTGGAATCAGGATATACCTTTGTTCCAATCCTTTATTTAAACCCATTTTTAAGGTTATGTGTATAGTAAGCACAATAATGCCACTCACACCTCTTCACCTTAGTTATATAAGAATACTGCTTTATGTTTTCTTAAAAGAATACTAGAAAAAGAGACTCCAAGTGAAATTCCAAGTGTAGCATTTTTTAAAGGCTGGTGTAAAATCTTCGTTTAAACAGGTTGTAAAGGGGTGAAAAGTGCTTCAGCTCGTTAAAATAAGCATTTGAAGGAAAAAGTGTTGAGTGGGGGAGGACTGACACTATGCTTCAAGAAGGTCTGTTTCGGGAAATGAAGGAGCTAAACAGAACCTGCAGAAAGACAGGGCTGGAGGACATGCACAAGGGGGCAAAGATGAGTGCTGGAGGGGTAATGGCGTGATGGAAGGATTCTGAATGACCATCACTCAGACAATATGTGATATTAAGTGGTTGGGATTCACTGAATGGGAAGCTATTATGTGAGTGATCTATCTCCTCTGTTCACTTAAGAGTAATGGTGTGGTTTATTTCATTTCAAGCCTCAAGTATTGATAATTATCCACTCTATAAGACTTTTATTGTTTAGTTCACGTCCAGATTGTGATGAGGCATTATAGTGTTCATTTCTACAACCAAAGTTAGGCAATACATTCATGCACTGTTGATCGTCACCTTGAATACGTTATATTAATAATAATATCACTTTATTAACCCTTTACAATTTCTTGCATTAGAAATTGTCTTTTCGCATACCCCAACTTGCTCTCCATGAGACACACAGACAGGGAGAGAGCCTGGGGTCAGAGCGCAGGGTCTGCCATTGTACGGCGCCCCTGGAGCAGTTGGGGTTAAGGGCCTTGCTCAGGGGCCCAACGGAGTAGGATTCCTCTGCCGGCTGCAGGATTTGAACCGGCAACCTTCCAGCCACAGGCACAGATCCTTAGCCACAGAGCCACCGCTCCGCCCCCAAGTAATTTTGCATATTAGACTATGTGCAAAACTATAGAGTCAGGAGCCAATGGAGTTAAAAGCATTAAGTAAAGCCGTGTTCTAGACTTCTTCCAATGCACACAGAATTATCATACATTTATGTAACTCCAGCACAGTACTCTATATGTTTTATCGATTCGTTTTTTCAGTTAAACAGAAATGAATATTGCTATGTTTTTATATTTAATAAAAAATAAAAAACAAGAATGAAAAACTAAGGAATGAACATAAAATCTATTTCAATATAAGCTGTATGGCCCTAACGCTCATACAGCACCATTCTGTGTTGTATGGGCAAGTGCAGTACAAACAAACATACAACAGTGTGTGAAATAAAGTCAGTTAAAGTAAAATACTGTTATGTAAAATAATAAAACGTACATGTAAAGTTGTTTCCAGAGTATTCTGCAAACTTTGAAATACTACAATTGATACAACCTATTAGTGGTTACTTTTTCCTTGGGAATTTTGGTGCAAACTTATTCCCACATGGGATCAGAAAAAAACATTAGTTCAGCTCATTTTAAACATTTTGCAACTTTGTTTTAGGACTCATGATTGAT